ATCCCCATGTTCAGGTCAGCTGTTTCTGTGGGTTTCACCAGCCTGGTCTAAACCCCTTTGCTCTTCACTCATCCTCTGCATCTGGATTCCAGTTCAGTTCAGTGACTAGCTGTGGGTGTCTGCTTCTACTTCCACCAGCTGCTGGGTGAGGGCTATCGGGTGGCATAGAAGTCAGTCATCGATCTCATTATCAGGGGAGGGCATTTAAGGTAGCCTCTCCTCTCTATTGCTTAGATTGTTAGCTGGTGTCATCTTTGTAGATCTCCAGACATTTCCCTAGTGCCTGATTTCTCTGTAAACCTAAAATGTCTCCCTCTATTATGGTATCTCCTTTCTTGTTTTCTTCTATTCTTCCCCTGACTCAACCTTTCTGCTCCCTCATGTCCGCCTCACCCCTCCTTCCCTTCTCATTATCCTAGTTCCCTCTCCCCTATTAGTTTATTTCTTAAAAAATAATCCATTTAACTTTTATTTTATGTGAATTGGTGTGAAATGGCAGATCCCTTAGAACTGGAGTTACAGATAGTTGTGAACTGCCATGTGGGTGCTAGGAGTCGAACCTAGGCTCTCTGGAAGAGCAGCCAGTGCTCTTAGCCCCTCAACTATCTTATAGTCCCTATTAGTTTATTTTTAAAATTGTTTTATTTACTTATTGAGTATAGGGAGGACACCGAGGACTTAGGTAGTCAGAGAACAATTTGTGGGAGTTTTCTTCTTAATATATAACTGCTGATAGAATTTAGAATATCAGACAAGTACCTTTATTAACTAAGCCATCTCAATGGCCTTATTTTATTTACTTATTCTAGACAAGGTTTCTCGATGTAGCTCTGGCTGTCCTGGAATTCACTATTCTCTCAGCTGGCCTCGGAGATCTGTCTGTTTCTACCTCCTAAGTGCTGAAAGTGAAGGCATGCGAAACTATGCCTGGCCTATTTATTAGTTTTAAAACAGTGTCCCATGTGTTCCAGGCTGGCCCCTTACCCCTATGCTATGAGGGTGAAGACGACCTTGACTTCTTGATCCACCTGTCCGTGCTCCAAGGTCCTAGGACTTCAGATGTGAACCTACAGCCTGGCCTTTAGTGGTTAATGTTGTTCAGAACAAGTCTCACTCCATATCCCAGGCTGACATGAAATTCACTAGATATCCCAAGATGGTCACAAAACAAAGGCAATTCTCCTGCCTCTGCCTCCCATGGGTTGGGATCATGGATCTGTGCAACCAGGAATAAAATTTTTCTCATTTCATGGCTCTGATGAGTAATGTCATAAATTAGTACTCAGTGTGAAGCCTTCCCTTCTGTATCATTTCTCATTTCACTTGACTATAGAGAAATCTGCTTTATTTCCAAAATGTATGATGTTAGTTAAAATGCAGCCAGGTTCCCAAAAGTTCACAGAATCCCTCGTAGGTCTCCACAGGCCTCCTGGCAGGCAGAGGGTCATTGCTCCTCCTTATTGGGAACAGGACCTGGTCGAGTGACTGCCAGAGCAGCATATACAGTGGGCTCCTCTGGGGCTTCTGCAGCCTGGGAGGGAGGAGGTGCAGCTGTCCCCTGTCTGAGTGACCTGCTCCACAGCTGGGCATAGACCACATCTTGGGGATCCTCAGATTCAGCAGCCTGGAGGGGGAGAGAAGGAGAGGAAGGTACATGCTTGACTTACAGGATGCTGAAGGCCTGGGAAGTACAGGACCAACCTGAGTGTCTGTCTCTCTGCCCTCTTCTGCTTGTTCTTCTTTTGTTTCTGGGACTTCTCTTGACCTGACAGAAGGTAGGACAGCTTCTGCCCTCCTGAGCCTGGAGTCTTTCACCTGGGCATATGTCTGTTGCTGGGGCTCTTCCTCTGGTGGTCTCTAAAGCAGGCAAGTAGTGAGGTCAGATAATGTCACCCTGTTCCCCTGTGACTTTCCTCTGGCCTGTTTTCCACAGCATGGTCAGAGTGACCCGTTTAGATGACAGCATCCCTGCTGGGATCTTCCTACAGTTCTGGCCTCTTATCCTGACACTCTAAACATTTCTTGCTGTACCCGCAGACCCCATCTTCCTGAAAATACATATCTGGGGTCTGAAGAGATGTCTCTGTGGTTAAGAGCACTGACTGTTCTGTCAAAGGACCTGGGTTCGATTCCCAGCACCCACATGGTAGCTCACAACCACCTTTAACTCCAATTCCACGGGATCTGACACCCCACTCTCTTCTGTACCCTGGGAGCCTCATGCAGGATCGTGGTGCAGAGACAAAGTGCAGCCAACACTATAAACTACAACACTAAACACATGTGTCTGCCCAAGGTCCTCTGTTTCCTGCCTGCAGTTGCTGGTCCCTTAGCTGTTTCTGTGGGGTTCTTCATCAAGGCTGCCCCCTCAGACGACAACCAGACAGATGCCAAGGAGTCAGAAAGCAGACGGCAGCTGTGAGACCTATGATCCCAGGAAACCCAGGGCAGAGTGAGGCCATAGCACACAGGAGCCAGGTAGTTGCAGAAGGGAGTCGTCAGCTATGGATGATGTTGAGGGCCAAGCCAGGGAGGAAAAAGAAGGCAGCCTGGACTAAACTAGGACCTAAGTTCTTAGCACTGCAAACAGGGACAGGGACCTCACCAAACTGTCCAGATTGACACCATCCTCAGGTTTCATGTCCTCCACTGAGGCATCTGTCATAGCAGAAAAAACAGAAATGACCAGAGTCTAGGAATGTCTCAGATCTCTAGTTTCCTGCCAAGTCCAAGGGGGGACAGAGAAGTAGGGAGTGTGGTGATGTCCCTGTGTTCATAGTGTGAAGATCAGACCCAAACAGCTAAGACCTCAGAACCTCTTCACCACCCCTGCAATGCTGAGACCTCAGACTCCACCCCCAGGACCCTCTGTATCTCACATAGGATTTCTTCCTGGGTGGCAGCAGCTGGGTTGGATCTGGAAAGACAAGGAGGTGTCAGTTGGCAGTGAGTTGTGTCAGGAAGGGGGGGTCAATGTCCCTGGCCATGAGTTACCTCTTCTGGCGGCCTCTGTCTCTGGTTACTGGCTCTGCAGCTCCTGCAGGAAGCTGCAATTCTGTCTCTTTCTGGGCTGCAAGAGAGAGAAGAGTCTCAGGTATTGGGGGACGGCTCCCCCTGACCTGTACAGGGAAGGAAGGAAGGGATCTTTACAAAAGGGGTGAGTGAGCAAATGTCCCAGGACATGGAAAGCTCACAGAACCCCTGACATCGCACCGGTTCTGAGATCACATGCTCTCTGATCTGAGATCTGCCACTGTTTCTAGACTACCCAGTCCCAGTTTGAGGAACCCATCACCACCTGAGACCTAGGTCACCCACAATGCACTCACCATCCTTCCTGAACTTTCCCTGACGCCTTCTTCGGAGAAGGAGAAAGATGAGAATGGAGAGTAACAGGAGGAAGGCCACAGAGACTCCGATCAGAGCCTTCAGGTACATTTCCAGGCCTGAGGAACAAGTGACATCATGAGTAGGGACTGTTGATGCTTATCTGAGCACCTACTGTGTGACAGAGCCATGGTGGACCATTGCCCTCATCATCTCCCATCCTCACAATCATGCAACAAGCAATCGTCTCTTCTTCTATCCCCACAGCTCACCTGCCTCAGATCACCTGACAGGAAGTGGCAGAGCTGGGAGTTGAACCCAGGGACTCTGACTTCCACCTCTTTTCTCTCCACCTGAGCTGAGTCTCATGAGCTCAGGGGAAAGGGTAGGAATGCCCTGCCATGTTCCTGTGTCCCAGCCTTGCCCATGTCACCACCATGGTGGGGCAGACCTACTGCAGACTCAGGTTCTGCAGGCCTCCTCTGTTAGTAGAGGCGCCATTCAAGGCCAGAACTGAAAGAAATTTACACATGTGGGCCAGGCCTCTCACTTTATACTCAGAGAACCAGCAGCCAGCCCAGAATGGGAAGGACTTGTCCAAGTCAGCATCTCCAGAAGCAGCTGTATCCAGCCCATAACTAGCTATTGCCCATCTGGGTACCACATCCAACAGGATGGTTACAGAGCCTTCTGGGGCCTGACTCAATGCAGGTGAGAGGTGATTTCTCAGACCTTAGAGGCTGATGGAGAGGTGAGTGTCTGGGATCCCTCCTCTCCACCCCAGCCACCTGCCCCATCCTCCAGACTGAGCAAAAAGATCTCTCTCTGGACACCATCTTCTGTAACCCAACCTCTACGTCCTGGGCTTCTGGGGTCTCTGTTGGGATCTGTTTGCCTTCCACAGTCACAAGCTAAGTGACAGAGAAATGTGGACTTTGGTGGGCTCTGGTGAGGCAGCCTAGGCATGGAGCCTACTCCCTCCACTGAATTTCCCAATACCTACCTGCTGTTGGCAAGGGACTTGAAGGTGGTGGGCTGGAGGATCCAATGGGTCCTAGGAAATAGAACAAGACAAGGTGATATTAGATGCTAACTCAGGGACCTGCCTCTGTTCCCTGCCCTACATCTGCCCTGTAACCTCCCGAAAACCCTCATGCTGTCTGTCCCAAACCTAGTTGCAATAGAGGATGGAGTGGCCATTACTTAAGGGACCCTGCTGACATCCACTTCTCTGTCAGGGAAAGAGCCTTCTGACTCACCCTTCTTGTTGGCCCTTTAATCCCACCCAATCCAAGGACTCTTCTAGGGTTTGGATTGCAAATCACCCTGAGAGTTCAGGGTCACCTCACCTGAGACAGAGAGCTCTACAGGGCCACTGGCATGTGACAACAGGTAGGGAGATGAGTCTTGAGACCTGTAGCACCTGTAGGTGCCTGAGAGGGCAGAGGTCACAGCAGTCATAGAGAATTCTGCCTGGGACTTCCAATCTTGGAACTTGGATTTCATTCTCTGGGGTTGGTGGGCTGCTCCCTCCTTGGACAGAATGAAAGTGTCTGTCGTGTATGCTGACTGACACAGCAGGGTCACGTTGTCTCCAGACCGCACTGTGGAGTTTGGCTTCACTGAGAGGAAAGGACTGTCAGGAAGTTTTCCTAAAGAGAGCGGAGATCATGAGAGGCTGCCTTCAATGCTCTGAGCTGAGACTTCACAAGGGTCGACTCTGAGCGCCTGCGACTCTGCTTTATGTCTTCCTTACTGTTTTTCGAGCTCCCTGTCTCTCCCTCCCTGTCCCTCATCCCAGCCTTCAGCTCTTAGGTCCCCCAGGAGAGTTTATGCAGAGTTTATGCAGGGACCTGATTGAATCTATATAGTCCTCACCTGTGATCATGATGTCCAGGGAATCACTAGAGGATGACCACTCAGAGGATTGGTTGTGTGCTCCATAGCATCTGTACTGCCCTGCAGTAGAGCTGCTCACATAGCCCAGGGTGAAGTTGGCTGAAGAGAAGTTACCCTGGGTCCTCTGGCCATAGTGCTGGGTGAAGTCAGCTCCCCCTACCTTGTACAGACCAAATCTGTCATAGTCAGAGCAACACTGCAGGGTGAGGCTCTTTCCAGGGTCCAGGATATGGCCTTGATGAGTCAGCAGAGAGGGCTTCTTAGACAGGCCTAGAGGGAAAGTGACAGGCTAATGATTCAGGGGCTGTTTTTTTTTCTTTAGAGACAGGGTTTCTCTGTGTAGCTTTGGAGCCTATCCTGGCACTC